CTTCTGGAGCCGCAACAGCAGTTTTCTACATTTTGGTTTCAAACCTTTCCTCTAGGAACTAAGACATCACAGTGGATTATCAAAGCACACAAAGTGTTTTCTTCCAAAGAGAAAGTATTTACAATCAACTCAAACAACTGATTTTTCCTCTGCCAGCAGCAAATGCCTGAGGGCCCCTACAGCTTCGCAAATCATAGTGGGAAGAGACTAAAAGTTCTCCAAAAGTTTAAGAAAATAATTCAAAATATATCTGCTAGGGAAAACGATCACTGGTGGCAGGGGACACAACAAACCCCAGCCTCAGCTATTTTCTGCAGGGTCACAAATTCACATAGATGCTCCAGGCAGACCAGTCACCTCCAGTCCTGCCTCCAGCACCTACTTCTACACGGAGCTCAAGGCTCAGTGGTGGGGCAGGGGTGCAGGGGAGACCCAAGGGAGGATCCCGGGGCATGCCCAAAGAGGAGAGCGCGGTGGGTCCCGCAGCAGTGCCAGGTTCCAAGATGGCCGGCCCAGGCACACACTCCCCCTCGGGTCGGTGCCGCACGGCCGGCGGGAGGTCAGACAAAGCCGACAGTGTTTGAACTCAAGTCTGAGCGGCCGCTGCTTCCCGGCAGAAGACAAGCCAGCAGCTCGGGGGAGCGATTCTTGGAACCAATAGGCACTTAAACCAATTCTTAGTTTACCAATTTACTGCAAACTGCGAGAGGAATCCTGACTACCCACCCCAGAATCCTACTCACATCAGCAAAAAGCATCAAACCTCCCCAAGCTTTGGTACAGTACAACAAAATGGGACAGGGGTATTCTAGCTGTACTGTAGAGCTGCTGCTTTTCATGCCGATATTGTATCATCCCTGATAATTCAAAGTAAGGCTGGATGGACTGACCCCAACCACCACCTTTGGCAGCACGTTTGGTCCAAAATACTAGAGTAACTGTTCTGCTCCCTCCCACCCCAACATTTTCATTAAGTTACCCTAAAAGGTTAAAGTCAAAATGATAGCATACATAAATAAAACTCAAGAGTTGACATAGTAACTCCAGGCTTTAGATATCAACTGTCCAAGAAATCAGAATACCAAAGCTTTGAAACGCGCTGAACTTTGAGTTTTGCCAAGGGGGAAGGAAGGAAGAAGCTTTAAGTTTAAGCCTTCAGAGCATCACTGAATCAGTAGATCTGTTCACAACCACCAGAGTTTGTAGATGGGAATCTCTCTGTCCCAAAACAAACAAGTGCTTTGTCCTCTTAATGTCGAAGGTAGCCACCGATAGTTACAGAATGGATGCACAGGACTTTGACTCTGACCAGCAGGGAAATTTAGGACAACTGAGTGCAGATACTGCCCATTTCTATCAGTTCAACTGTGCTTTAAGACTCATTGCAAAGCCTCAGCTAGAAAAAGGGTGACCTCCAGGTATCCGGCTTAGAAAGTTTTAATTTTTTTTTTTTTTTTTTTTTTTTTAAACCTTCAGACTATGCAGTTCAGCTGTCAATCATTTCAGAAAGTTCCAGGAGGAGGTCATCCTCATCCTTCCCGGGGTCCAGGTCAATTTCTGCTTCCAGTTTGCCTCCTGAGATTTCCCAAATAAGCTTCTCAAAGTCATCTTCTACAGATAAAGGTGCTTTCCCAGCCCCTGTGGAGCTCAACCGGCGCGTCTTTACCGCTACTTGTGAAGAAGTTGAAGTTGAGCTTGAGACTTCTGACTGCGCCACAGAGTCTGCCTGGCTTCCAATATGCAGTTCAGGACTTGGAAGAACAAGAAAGGAAACAAATCAGTGTATGACATTCCTTAACCAGAGAGATGTTTTCTGCAAACCAGCTCTTAAAACTGTAGCTCCCTCTTACACCTCAACCTTACACAGGGATTGTTATTCAATTAACCTGAGGGTACTTTCAGAGTCCAATGTATCAGCAGGTACATTTTTCAGTTTGGGGATTTATCCGTGAAGACAGAGCATCTGGGGTCTGGCAAAGAAGGTTCAATTTTTGTAGCCAGAGACACTTTGCCACCTTTACTAATTTGGCTGTAAAAGGTTAAGAAGTCAACCTCTGCAGGCATTCAGAAAACCCAAGAAGTCACTGAAAAGCTGTACCAACTTGCAGCATTTTAAGAAAAGAATCTAAATAATCATTCCGGCTAGCTGCTAGAAAATTATTTCAGACGAATTGTTCCTTTGTTGAACTTTGGCATTAATTATCTCAAAACTCTAATTTTTCCACATGCGAAAAAAACCCTTACGTTTCACGTAAAAGACACACTGATCAAGAAAAAAACTCAGTTGTGGTTGTTACCTGGTTTGGGGTTTTTCTCTCCCAGGTATGGAGACCAGGCTGTCCTCTGGCAAAGCAGGAACAATGGCCTAGGAAGACACAAGACAGTTTTTATGACACGCAGGTAAAAGACTTCTTAGCAGATTTTTCCTCCACTGCTTCTCCTCTGGCATTGCTGAGCCTTAGCCAAAATACAGAACCAGGGCACTCCTGAAGAAAAGTTAGTATGCACCCAAAGTTTACTAATGACCTTGTGTCTTTTTTAAGAACATGGCATTAATGGACAAAATCCTCCACACCACAGAGAAATCATCACAGGTATTATGTAAACGCTGCCATTCATCTAATGAAAAGCAGAAAGGTACAACAACCATCCTGTAGACCACGTCTGGATTTAAAAGGCAACAGAGACCTGTAGAACAGTTCAGTTTTCCACCTCTTCTCCAAGAGGAGGGTAAAACTTGGGCATAAATTTTACTAGGGACCCACTGCTGCCTCAGCCATTGTACTTACCACAGCTGCTTTTTTAGCTGAAGGCTCCTTTGTATCACCACCAGTGGTACTCAATGGTTTCACAGCCGCCACAGCAGAGGGATGACTCTCAGCTGCCTTACGTTTCAGTGTCTGCTTTGTGGGGGAGGTGGCTTTCCCATCCAAAGGCTTCAGGCACACCTTAGATGTTGCTAGAGTAAAAGGAAGAGAGAACTAATACAGTCTCACTCTGCCTCAGGAAAAAAAAAATAACCAGGTTCTCTTAACAGTCTCATAATCCTTCTAGTTAAATATATTTGGCCAGCACAATTACACTGCCATTTCCCAGATTCTCAGCAGTATTATCAACATAGTAAACTCTGTTTACCAACAAGCCATAAAAAGGAGCAAAGTTACAAAAAGGAGCCAGAGTTACAATGCGAAAATTGTCATCTTCTGTCTTTCTTTCAAAACATGACCTAAAGTAACTCTTTAACATACAGTCAACACTTACTTCTAGCTTTCTGTTCCAGAAGTTGAGCTGCCTGTTTCCCTGGTGATACAGCAGCATCCTTTCCTGGGCTTTCAACCCCATCTTCCGGAGATTTCACCAATATCCTCTTCGCAAGTTGATAAGCTGACCCTGAAACCACGGTGGATTCAGGACTCCCTGACGCTGGAGTTTTATCCTTGATTGGTTTTTCAACAGGAGATGGCACAGCAGCCACTTCCTTCTGAAGCTTCTCTTCTTGGCGTCGTTTCAGTTGCCGCTTCTCCCTCATTATCTCTTCAAGGCTCTTCACTTGAACTTTAGAATTAGTTGCGCTCTGATCAGCAGGCTAGAAAGAAACAAAAGAAGAGGACTAATAGAACAAAAATATATGGAGATTTCATTAAGAAAATCTGAGTGGCAATCCTTCCGAAATGGCTCCATGTGGAACAAAGCATGTTAATACCATTCAGATCTGACATTTTTTCCATAAAATGTTGCCTGTAACAAGATGAAATACTTCGCTATGGAAATACTGTTTCAAAAGCCTGCAATTCCCAACACAGCATGCTTCTTTAATAGAGCAGAAGACTCTAGCTGTAATGTATTACATTCTTTTTAAGCAACAGAAAGTCATACAAGCTCCCCAATACAGCATTCACTGACAGACTGATTTCCTCTAATACAAAGCTTTAGCCTTTTCTATTAAAATACTTACCTCAGCATTTTAAGATATCCTTCAAGTCTGACAGATAAAGTCACTGAGAACAAAAACATTCCCTCCACATTAACCTCACAGATTTTATCTGGCGCTAATAGGGTTTCTTATTCATTGTCAGGTATAATCAGATTAATTCAAAGCTTGAGCATTACAACGTTGTCTGGAAATGTTATTGAAAGTGACAGGACTTATGACTTCACTGCAGCGCTTACAAGATGCGGAAAGGTAGGAACACACTCAAACTGGGAGCATGCAGCGATTTGCAAACAAAACATAACAAAATTTATCAAAAATTTTATGAATGTATGTATGTCTTCACAAAGGACTCACCTCTGCAGGTACAGAGACAGCTTTGGGAGAAGGCTTGCTCAATTCCACTATCTTCTTTTCTTCTCTTCCAGGTGCTTTAAAACAAGCAAAAAAACCAAACCCATTTTGTCAACAGCAGAAATAAAGAAACCTGGTTACCTCTGTTTCCTTGGTGTGTTTATTTCCTCATGTCTAATAATGGGGCAGAGGGAAAGGCTACAGTAAGCAATCCATGCAGCATTCGAGTTGTCTTTCCCTCAGTCACACTATCTCTTTTTACAGGGCTTACATAATCTTAACGACGAGATCTTTAATGCTTTGTCATTTTTGACAACTGGCCCTCACATTAAGAAGTTGATACATGCTTCGCAAACACATACACCTCAATAACTAAGTTAAACAACACATATGCCAAAGAGGAAGGTAAACTTGGATTCAGCACAGGAAAGATCCCATACCACAAACAGATGGCAGAAAAAACAGAAGAGAGGAATTAGACTACAAAACTCCTCAATGAATGAATTTTCCAGTGGGAAATACAGAAAACTATCATGTAATTCATGGAAAATAATATGGTTGCATATTCTGGCACTTAGTTGCCTTTTGACTTTGTAGCCTTAAAGTCTTTTATCCTCTACAGGATAAAAGGATACATAGGAGGAAAAAGCAAAGCGAATCCTGAGCAAACTGAGTTTGCTTGATAGGGGAAGCACTTAACCAGGGCAGGTACCAAATCATCTTATTACCTATTAGCTTTGTGATCCGTAACAATCTCCTCCCTGTTGGGGCAGGTTCGGGTTGTGCTGGTGGAGCTGGCACATTTTCTCCACTCTGCTGCATCCGCAGAGCTTTCTCCTGCTTGATTTCTTCCAAGGTTTTAATTCGCACTTCTCCTGCTGGCTTGACTTTGCCTGCCGGCTCTGCCAGATGCATTTTGCTGGGCACAGATGGAGCAAGTATGCTCTGCTTCTTGGGCTCACTCTCAACTCTTGTCTTGGTAGGAAACTCTTCTGGTTTTTGCTTCTCTTCTTCCAATCGCTTGTGGTTTTTTTCAGCCAGGGCTCCTGAGAAAGTTTTGATGCGAACTGCAGGGGAAGGTTTTGCCCCCGAGCTGGGATCTTCTGTTTTACAACGTCCTTCAGTCTGGGATTTCGCTTGAGGTTCTCCTCGTCTCTGATTAGCTCTCTCAAGACGAATTTCCTCCAGCGTTTTCACATGGATCTCTCCTGTTGGCTTAGCAGCCTTCTCTGTCATCATCAAAAAAAGAGAAGCACCAACATTTAAAGAGCGTCCAACAATATTTAAAGTCTCCAAGATTTGTCACAGTGCTAAGGAAAACTAGGTTTGAGTGTTCCCAGGAATGCATCTTAGGACAGTATCATTCTGCATAGTATTCTCCTCCTCCTTTAAGTACTTGTATTTTGAAAACCAGTGCTATCCAGAGAGAGCTGTGACACAAAAAACCTCTGTGGTTCTAGAACGGTGGTTTTATTCTACTTGTGTGTAAGCATACTGCAGCTTTGGACGGTTCACAGCAGGAGCATGAAACCTTCACAAGGCACAAGTGTAAAACACACACACACTTAGAGCCAGATTTCTGACAGCGGCCATCAGGACAGCTTCAGCACTCGAGCGAGAGGAATCAGGCAGTTTTTTAAAATTAACTTTTAGGGCTGTATGGAAGTTCACGGAAAGAAAAAAAGGGAAGGCATATTTAATATCCAGTTATTACCTGTCTCTGTACTGGTCTGTTCAGAAGGCAATCCTAGCCTCTCCTTCAGAGACCTGGGGACTTGAACTACAAGACAGAACAGAAAATGTTAGGGAGACTACATAAATCTCAATTTTGTCTTCACATTTCGAAATGAGACAGGAGATCACTTCGCTGGGATTCAAAGTTACCTTGAGCCCTCAACCAACATGCAAAAAGAATCATTAGAAGAAAGGACAAACAGAAAAACTAAATAGAAAATCTGTGCATCAAATCCAGATGTCTGTTTAGTGGCTGTACCTCTCTTTGGTGCTTTGTCAGCATTCTCCAGAATCTCTATCTTCTTCCCCAGCCTTTCAGCAAGGTTGCGCTTTAGAGGAAGGACACTTTTACCAGCTTCAGAAAGAAAGAAAACAAGAAATACTTCAAGAACATTTCTCTGGAGAAGGATTTTAGAACAGTCAGCCACAAACTTCAATTCTTCCACGTATATTTTCGTGTATTTGCCTTTCAGTTGCTAACAAAATTTGCCATTTCTGCAGTCAACATATACATGTGTTTGCATTCAGCAAAAATACCCTTAAATGTAGTCATGTTTAGATGAGGGCATGTTTAAACGACAGCTCACAACAAGCTCCTACCTATGGAGGCTTTCCGTTTTCCCAGTCTCTCAGCAAGATTCAGTCGAATCACAGGCTCCTCCGCTAAAACAAAGAATAATCTCTTTAGTGCACAGAAACCAGTAACCAGTAAAAGCACTGTCCTTCTAGCCCATGTCCCAAAAAAAGACACTCTTTTCGTAGCCAAATCACATAAACAAATGACTACAAGTAGTTGTTCAACATGTTTTTTGCCTTTAAAAGGAATTTGTGCAGATGTAAACACCACCATTTACACACAGACTCATATCACGCTACTGTCTGCAACTGCCACTTCAGCCTCTTCAATGCTTCAAAAACTGGCTACTTGTATAATACAATCTTCTATAGGTCTTCCCTTTCATTACTCCCTTGTTTTTCAGTTATCCCCTTATTTGCATACTGACACTTGTTTTGACATTAGCCTCTCCCTCTGCTGCTACTGCACTTAACCCAAACACTAATTCTGTCACGCACTGTCAACACGTTAGCTCATTCACAAATCTCACTCAACTCAGGAACACCAAAGTCAAATTAAGCACATTTGAGAGTCCGTAGGATGGTGATAATATATGACTAGCTATGGCTTAATGTCAGGCTGATAAAAAACACTTCTAGATCTTTCATTGCAGTACAACAAACTGAGCACCTACAAATGCCATATCTTTCCAACACAACCAGGGACTTTCAGTCCCTTTCGGTTTAAGAGCCATGAAATGGAAGCAATAATATTCATTATTACCTTGCTTTGCAGACAGAGTCACAGTTCTCACTACTGTCCGTACATTTTCCTTTTCTGGCACAGGAATAGTCCGAGATTGGAGCGGATGAACAGAAACTCCTGAAGGACCTTCTGATCGGAGCAAGCAAAACATAAGGATGTTTAGGAAAAAACCCCAACCGAACAAAACAGAAGAACTATCACGAAGTCCAAAAACATTAGTTATTCATTACTGTCCAACATACAATGACCAGTGCATGTAAATAAGAGAGATGAGCTGTTTTCCTCTGATTTGCCCTTGGAATTGCAATCTAGAATACCAGCTGTTTGAGTTTAAGAAAACAGGTTGCATGCCAAAGTAGCTCAAGGCCCCCAGCTAAACATGGAAGTCTGTCCCTCAAGCAGCTCTCAGCTGCAATCATCTCCCAGTCAGAACCCAATAGTGCAAAAAACTTTCCTTTCTTTTGCAAATAATTGTATTCGCTAATGCATAGCCAACTATTCAGGTATTATCAGAAGGAAAAGAAAAAAAAAGATGAAGATGAACAGAAGACAGAAGGATAGGAAAGTAGGGGATATTAACTCATCACCTTGTTTTTTTGTTTTTTCCTTTAGTTTCTTCAATTTGATTTCTTCAAGTGTTTTTATTCCGAAATTTAAATTGTCATCTGAAAAAACAAAACTTAGGCTTAAAGGCACATGTTGAAGAGCACACATCCTCAAGCTTCTTACAAATCAGAACCTTTCCAAAGAATTTCAAATAAACCCTGTCAACACTCCCCACAAGTAAAAAAGCCATAGAATGGATGGTATTTTGGTAAGCAATTGGCACCTTTCTTCACCCCTTCTCCCACCCTTCAGGGCAAAACCTATAGTTTTAAGCATTTTAATCCACCTACATATTAGATTCCTCTATCATTAGACACGGCTTTCCACAATGTTTGAAAGGACACATTTGCAGGCATTTGAACGCCACTCTGTGGCTCTCTTTTGTTCTATAAAAGTAAACAAGGAGGAGTTTACCTAGAATCATAGAACAGAACCACAGAATAGTTTGGGTGGGAAGGGACCTTTAAAGGTCATCTAGTCCAATCCCCCTGCCACGGGCAGGGACATCTTCAACTAGATCAGGTTGCTCAGAGCCCTGTCCAACCTGACCTTGAATGTTTCCAGGGATGGGGCATCTACCACCTCTCTGGGCAACCTGTGCCAGTGTTTCACCACCCTCATTGTAAAAAATTTCTTCCTTATATCTAGCCTTAGTTTACTTAAGTTTTAGTTTCAGTCTCAGTAAGGGACATATGACAGTATTAAGACAGGAATGAGCTCATGGAAATAACTGACTCCTACCTGTCTGACCCAAGGGATATATGACAGTATTAAGATAGGAATGAGCTCATGGAAATAACTGACTCCATCCAGCTACCCTATGTTGTATCATATTTTTAGAACATATTGATTGCTTTTGAGTTAATTGTCAAATTCTCCTTCCAATCCATCCTACTACAGCTGTTAGAATACCTTGTTTTGTATTAGCATTGGATTTCCTAGTGGAAATTATCCGCAATCCATTATGGGCTTCTGTAGTTGGTTGCTGGACAGGTGTTTTAGTTTCATCTCCTTCTTCAGAAAGCTGGTCTGAAAGGCAAAAATAAACCCATTCAGGTATGCAGTAGAGATTAGACAAGATTTTTCATGTTTATGTAGCTCATACAATGACATTTCAGTCCATGTTTCATATTCTGTTTATATTCTTAATTACAAACACAAATAAATGTTTACAGAAGGATTTTTTTAAATAGCTATATTGACTTGATGAACTCATAAGTAAAAGAGCTATACTGGGAAAAAAATATTTAGGACTCCAGACTCATCTGTAGCTTTAACCACTACACGGTTCAGGTATTCTGTGACTTATACAGTCACTTATGGTAGAAATGCCTTCAAGAAGTAAAAAATGCTCACCATCATCATCTTCATCATCATCTGCAGCATTGATTACAACTGGGGGATGCGTAGGACTTGGGACATTTTCAGAGTTTTCCACTTTCATCACTCCCCTCAGCTGTGGAGAGGGATTTGACTGGACAGAAAGTTTGTTTTGTTGCAGTGACATCTGAGCCATTTTCACATCGTCTTCTGCAGACTCAGGTGGACTTGGAAGTGTAGCTAGAGGAAGACGAGGATCATCTGTAATTTGGCCATTTAAAACTTTGACCCCAATGTTGCACTCACTGCGCAAATACGGTAGATAAGGTAGATAACCCACCTGGCTACTGAATTTAGAGTGTCCTATTCCCCATCCCTGGTTACACTACAAACAATGGCTTCCCTTCACACACAAAACTCACTGTCCTACCACCCAGAAAGGATTAAATGAGGGGAAAGCAACCTGAAAGGCAACAATCGCACAAAGCACAGAGAAGCTGAGCATGAAAGAAAAAATTAAATACCAGAATTACATTCCGTTTAGCTGAGAGCCTATGACTGCAGACTTCTCCCTGCACTCATAAATGAACAGTTACTTGATGTATTCTACGGTATTGTACCCACTCATAAGTAATATTAAAAATTAATTATTTAATACTTAAAGAAAGAAAAAGGACCTAAGAAACTCACTTTTGCTTGGCGGTAAGAAGAGTCCATCAACATAACGTCCTTTTGTGTGATGAAAAGCACAGTTGGATTTTTGACAGCCTACTGGCTGATTCTCCCAGTAGCAAGGAATCTCACTGCGTTTTTTCTGATGACAGAAAGAAAGAAAAGCTCATGATAACACTCACCTTAGATCTGCAAAGAGACATAGTTTCACATCATGCCAGAGATAGGACTATTGCAGTGCTGAAACATCATTTCAAAGGTCAATTTATCACTAAAAGTATTTCAGGGCATACCCACAAAGTTTGCGTAAGCTGTAACAACTACCTATTATCTAGCTTTCCTATCATTCAGTTTAAGACAGGCACTCTCACACACCAGTTCAGGGTGGGTTAAACCAATACAACTTGGGATTGTTCAGAGCGAAAAATGTTCTAAATTGCCTAGGTTAAATTTATCTGAACTTAGCTTTCAGAGCCTTAGTTCCTTCCCATCTTTTCTCTCCCCACCCTGTACTATCCCAAGAGGTTAGAGCAACGTTATCTGAAGAAATCCAGGACAGAAGAGACCCGATAGGCCATTATCAAGCCTAGCCCTCAGGAGGCTAGTGCAGGCTGTTTACTACCACCCTGCTCCAGACATTTAAGCAGTCCAATCAATGTGGTTGTTTTTGCCTCTGTTAAGAAAATAATGTCAGCACCTAATACAAAAATTTCTTGCTGAGATATACCTGAGACATTGATTTTTCTTCCCCCAACTTCTTCCCATCCCCTTCCCAGTAATAGAAACCAGTATCATTTTATAGCAAGTAAATCTATCATGTAAAAGCACATTCAGTCCACCTACAGCAATGAAAAATGCTTTCAGTGATTTAGTTTGAGAACACGTCTTTAGGCAAATACTCACATCGATTTCCATGTGTCTGAATCGGCAGATATTCCTGAAACAGCGACCCTCCTGCCAGAGCGTACAGACTGTTTCATTCCCCAGAGCAGCTTCACAGTGGCGGAAGGAACAGCTGTCTCCCTGTAACCAAAAGGAAATGAACAAAAACGAAAATAAAATAGTACAGCCTAAAAAAATGTCCATGCTATTAGAACTGGAAGCAGAAGCTAACTGCTTATTAAGTTACCAGAAATCTGTGTGTCTCCTCCCCCTCCTCTCTTAAAAACTAGAACGGGAAAAAAAAACCCAAAGCAAAAGAAACCCAAACATACCTTGTTACATGTGGAATAGAAGTAGAAGTAGCAGTCATCTCCTTGGTTAGACATAATGGACAAATTCTTAGAACAAGCTCAGGTTATAAGGGTTCACCCAACAGGGCTTCCTCCACTCTTGGAAAGAACTGGCTTCACTCTTTCTTGGACTGAAAAGTCTTCTACTGGCTTGATCAGTGAAATCTTCTTTTTAAAAGTTACCCTAAAGAAAGGTGTAAGTGAAAAATAATTAAGTAATAAGCATTTTTACAGCCGCTTTCTGTTAATCAAATTAGTCTCTTGAGGGGGGCAATGTCTTGAAGTCAGCTGGTCACAAAAACTATCCCAATACTAAGTCAAACTTCTGTAAAACTCCATGGGTTTTGTCAGCAAGTGTTCTCTTCTGTGTCCTTAGTAATAGTTATACGCCTTGGAGCACACAAAAAACTACTGCGCGTGGCTGCAAGCCCCGTAAGAGAGTCACTTCTTAAAAAATTGGTCATACATTTGAATTCAGTCAATGATTAACTGTGGTTACTAATAATTTTTATAAAATACATCGACATATTAAACAGTATTTTCCAATCACCATGGATCTTCAAGTTCACATACCTGGACAACTTCAGCAAAGATAATGATCTTCAAAGACTTCCAGTTAAACTTCTCCTGTAGGCCGAACCAACACTGAATCCATGAATTAATAATAAAGGGGTAGAAAGAATTTTCCTTCTCACATTGCCAAGGGAACCTCTCATCCACAATTCAAACATAGGATGTGCTTTTAAACATCTTACAACTAATGGAGGAAGCAAGTCCATTTGAATACTGTCAGACTGGAGACAGCCAGGGTTAGTTAGCTCTTCAAAAAAAAAAAACCAAAAAAAAACCAACAAAAAACCCAGGGCATTTAAAGATGAACTTGTGATTCAAAGTGGCTGCAAAAATGAGGATCCATCTTCCACAGCCGGACAATTTTAAATTTTTTTTTTTTTTTTTTTTTTAATTTAAAATTCAGTAAGTTGCAATTTCTTGCAATTTCTGGTCTTCAAGATTTCTTCACCTATTAAGAAAACACAAAAACCTTCCCCCATCTTTATTACCTGTACAGCAAAAACATACTTGTGCGTATAAATACACAAATATGTATATACATACACATATGTGTTTATACACACACCAAGAGTGAGTGATAATAAAGTCAGCAACAGTGACAGTAAAAATTAGAATTTTTGGCTATTTGCCACATAAGACTACATAAAATGTCTCTCATTTTGAGGGAACTGGCAAAAATGAAAGATCTACATAATATTTTGATGAATATGCCTTCAAGGCTGATGCTTTATAACATGAGTGATTTTGGGGCCAGCACACAAATATGCATACGTATGTACATGCATACAGTATAAACATATCTATACACACAAGCGTGCACAGTATATGTTGTATGATGTCCGTATTGAGAACAACTTTTAGGCCTGATCAGACATGTAGAGTTGCAATCAATTAACAGCAGGAAGACAGCAGATCAAGGATACAGCAAGCTTTGAGAGGCAGGGAAATGCTCACTTTGCAAGTGGCATGGCTGCATGATACCAAGAATTTTGAATTATTTTGATTTTAGGAAATAATTTGTTTTCTTTTTACATCAGAGCAAATACAAGTTTGCCACCACATGCTGTTCCCTAATCCATATATCCATCATTATCCATTGCTGCAAGATCACCGAAGGTTTGAAAAGATGGCGTAGGTCCAATTCAACAGCTGATGATTTTTTGGTGCCACCAGAGCTGAAACTGATTTTATTTAGCCACAGGCAGTTTCTTTGATGTGAAGTCAGATACTTTGATTCTTAATTTTTTAAAGATACTAAATGCCATAAAACCTGCAACCAGACCAGATAAAGTTCAAATTAAAGTGATTCTGACCCCTTTCATTAAAATGCTGCACATTTCTGTGCAAGGTATTTCTGACTCTTTTGGACAAAACTGAATGAAATAGTTGTTACAAATTAATAATAAAAGGTTGGAACCTTTTACTCACACAAACACTAGTGAATTTTCCAGGATATTTTTTTTTGGCAGGGAATTTTCCCAAATCTAAAATAAAGAGAGGAAAAGTTGGGTTCTCATATTAGTTATTGTTTTTTTGACTGCTTGACAAACGGAATAAAAACAGTAGTTAAGTGCAAGGTTTTCTTCCCTTCTTCAGTATCAATGTGACTATTCACTTTTGACGTTTAGCACCTTCAAAACCAGACTTTGTGTCATACAGATTGCTATGCATCTACTTCTAAAAATTACTGGTGCTCCTTCATGTAGAAGTTTGACTAGAAACATTTTTCCAAATGTGTTACCAATACCATTGATAGTTAAATTAAATTTCAAGCACGATTTCTTCAGTTTGCACAAGCTTAAATAGATGGCAATTAAGGACCACTGCTTTGCTGAGCAGAGGCATTCAAATACAAATCAAAAGGAATTCATGGTCTAGAAGGTGGCACTTCTTTTCCCTAGGAAGTGAGAGACATCTGTATAATGCACCATTACTATATCCACCACCATGGGGGAAAAAAGAAATCCCCTCAGATTTGGCTCTTTTGAATGCCCAAGCAGCACAGCATTTTGCTTCTTGCCTTCCATATTCCTGAGCAGACTTCAAGAGCTGTTCAGAATTTGAACAGATCTTCTTTAAGGAATGGGAAAAAAGCAAAACTTTAAAACAAAACAAAACAAACCGAAAAAAACTCATAGGTCTAAACTCCATAAAAGTCCTTTCATTTTAAAAAAAGTTAACTCAAAAACTTTTTTTTTTAAACCAGTATCAGTTAATATGGCAATCTGAGTGCTAAACATAAATCAACCAAACTAACCCCTGAAAGTCTGAATAAAATGAGTAACTCTGGAGCACTCAGCAGGTCTCTAATGGAAGTTGATGAGAATTTTAAACACTTCTTTTTTCTCCAAAACTTTAGTAAAGATTTTGTCTGAAGATATTTTGATTTAATTTTGTAAAAAAAATTAAATAATTACAGATGCAGTAGCTAGAGCTCAGGAAAAACATGCCCAAAAGTGCCATAAACTTTACGTTTGCTAAGAGAAGATAAATAGTACAATGAAAGTCTGTCTAGTTTGTTTTACAAGCTTGTCTTTCTTGGTACTGAAGAAACAGTCCTATTCCCTGGTCTAACTTTCCAGCTGCTGACCTGCCTTTGTCCTGTACCAAAGAGCAAGAAGGGAACAAAAGTTTTTTTTGCACCCCAACAAATGCATGAGAGAAGTATTATTGCACCTACCTAAGGGTACTTTTTGGTTATAAAGCACAAAGTATTTCACTTGGACAGTCTCTCTTGCTGGTCTACTTTGTGCCTTTAATTTCTCACAAAAATATTAAAGATGCTTAACTCACCTGTTTATTAGGACAGTAAGATGACAAGAAAGGAAGAGCACTAGACACTCCACGTGGAGTTATAGCAGTCAGCGTTACCCCAGCTGCAAAACAGCTGCTGCCGATCTACCTGCTTGCTACCGCACTCCACAGACCGAAAGTGCAGTGTGCGCTAGATGTCACAGATTACATATAGAACACTGCATTATGATGTGTACGTAAACCACACATCTTCATGTCATCTGAAGCACAGAAGAACCTCTGGCTAACACATCTCATTCTCTGTATGAAAATCTAAAGCTAAGTTGTCCAAAGCTGAAGCAGAATAGCCATAATTCCTAGTCTTTACATTTGTTTTAGTCAATTCTAGCTGTTACATACTGCCTAAACCTGGACTGGGGACATGTTCTGAGACTGGGGGCTACAGCACTCAAGACCCTCTCAGAGCAAAGACGGCCGGGTTGCCAGCCAAGAAGGCAAAGGTTGAAGCAGATGATCATTTCAGCTTCCTCCGCCAGCGAGTCGGGGTCACCTTTTGTCATGATCTGTGAGAGTCAGAGCTGTGAGTTACCACAGCCGTGAGGCACAGCTGCCCCTTGCTGGCTGGAGCAACTCTATTTGAACATGTGCCACTTGAGGGACCTGAATTAGGACATTCTTCCTTAAGATGAGAGATAAATCAATCTGTTCCTGAAAGGGCTGATAAGCCTCGTGTTTCTGTAACTGTCAAAGAATAACCCTGTACTGAAGTACTCATCAGATCAGACACTGCTTCAGTACACATTTGTCTTTAGCTTGACACATCAAGATGCAGGAGAAGGAACTCTTCAAAGCAACCTTTAAGCAGGGATCTATTAAAGTGGCCAAGACAAAGCATTCAGATCTGAGCGCACCACTCTGTAGAAAATCAGTTTCAAGCCTAAGATATTTCACCCATCTCGCAGGTCAAGAGCGACAGTGACACCTTTGATTTGAAAGTCTTTCCACATGCTCTGCAAAGCCAGAAGGATGTGACCGATGGCAGCACATGACTAAGAAATGCAGTTCCCCACTGGCCTCCACCTGCAGGCCAAGAATCTTGCACCCATCAGACATCTGGGACCACTGGAATGAGCTGAGAATAGTCCCATTCTCCCTCCCAGTGGGATGCAGCTCCACCTTCTGCTGTTTTAAAATCACTTTAACATATAAAAGGTAGAGAGAGGTTCACTGAGCAGCTATTTCCTGCTTCAAGTGACCCTGTGGAAAATGGTTTGAATGCTGGAGTTCCTGAAGAATTTGATGGACCTCAGCAGAACGAGCAAGCGAATCTCTTAAGCACCTGCTAACTTGTTCTCAGTGCTCCTGTGTTCAAAGCCCTGAATCATTAATTTTAAAATATATGTAGAACATGGCAGCTGGCACCTAGCACTGTGCACACAGCATCGGCAGTGTTGTCAGAAGCTGGAAAGCCAGGGGTGAGGGGATTAAGGGAAAGCCACACATCAATTTGGTAACTTGATTCTTGTAGGACACTTCCTACTGCAGAAGTTTTAGCAAAGCCAGTGGGAGGGAGCTGCCAGTTTTCTAAAAGGGGACTTCTGCTGGTGCAGTGTATCAAAAGATATCCCTGGGCCGTCACTGTCAAGTAGTCCGTGGTTTGTTCAGGGTCCACATATCAACAGTTAAATGCATACTTTTGTGTTGTGCTTTCTCCAAAGCCATGAAAAACTTTTCTTTTACAATGCTGTATAGTCACGTTATAGATGGGAACTGACTGTCTAGTGCCACAATCTGCATGAACTTCTAATAAGTTGCATTGAAAAAAAAAAAGTGTCTTCAGTAATCAATTTTATAATAGCTCTGTTTATCTGTTATTTAAGTGCATTCTCATACCCGAGTTTCTTCACAGCAGTATGTAGTTAAGAGTCTGAGTCCCATGGTTAAGATTTATGTCCTTTCTCCCACCAAGCACCTCCTCAGTAGGCAAAGATGCAACAGGAACACCCAAGCCTGGAGATGTTAAACCACAACTGGGCTCTAAGCCTATCCGTTGAAAAGAAATAGCTCAATACATCACCTTCATGAGGCAAAAATTCATGTGGAACAATAGAAAAATCCAGAAGTGCTTCCTGAGCTTCAGGTTACCAACAGCACCATTAAATTTAGGTCCTGGCCCAGTGTGCAGGATGCGTGGTCTGCAGGTGTTGCTGCAACATGGAAGTGCCAAGGCGAGTCCCTGCCCTGCCCAACACACTTTTCAAACATTGCAAGGAGCGTGCCAGATATACCGAGGGTCAACTGAGAAGTTCCAGACAACAGATGTGTTTGTCCTAATTTCTGGCATCAAAAGGCTTTTGATAGTATTGCTTCCGTGAAGAAAACTCCTATCTTCTCCAGATGCTCCAGGATCCACTATTGCTGCAGCTGCAACGGCTGCACTGGTACGACCCACATCTATGTCAAATCCCTTTGACAGCTCTCGTC